GTTGGGGCAAAAACAAAGCATAGAATGAAGAGAGGAATCAGAGGAAAAAGAACTGAGAACACCAAGGAAAATGACAAGCAAACAAATATATTACTATTTAATATATAATCAATAATTAACATATATTTAAACAAACCTTATATAAAAGCATAAAGCATCACTGGGTGTCCTAACATATATGTTCAACCTCCATAATCATATACAATATATATTTATATATACAAATATATATTTATGTATTTTGAATATTAAATTTGGCAAAGGGAATAAGTCAGTTGATTGAGTCCACTCACTGAGCCAGAGATGCCCTGTGACTCCAAAAGGGTAAGTGAAATGGCAACTGCTACTGCCACCTGTACCTTTCCTCTAGAGAGCTGTGACTCCAGCCAAGTGATTGTAGAACAGAGCCTCAGGGGTGAAGGTGATAGTCCCAATTACTGCCTTATTTCCCTGAATATTCTTCAAGGGCAAAGTTACATCACCAATGAACCTGCAGCAATCACTAGCTGCACTCCTCAGTCTGTAGGATGTAAAGGAGAAAGTGGCAAAGACAAAAGCGCATATCCAGCTGTGACCCCCTGCGGGGAAGTGGGGGGGGCGGTCCTAATGCATGGGCTTTGATGTCAAGTCAGGTACAGTGAAGAGACTAGAACACACGAACAAGGATCATGCTACCCAATGTATGATCTATAAACCAACAGTATTGGCCCCCACCTGGGAGCTGGTTAGAAATACGGAATCTCTAAATCGGGCTTGGTGGCACAAGCCTGTAATCCCAGAGATTTAGGAGACTGAGGCAGGAGGATCACACATTCAAAGCCAGTTTCAGCTATTCAGAGAGGGCCCAAGCAATTTAGTGAGACCCTATCTCAAAATAAAGGTAAAAAAAGGCCAAGGATGGGCTCAGTTGTAAAGCACCTCTGGATTCAATCCCTGGTACAACAACAACAAAAAGTAAAAGAAAATATTTAATCTCCAGAACCGCCCTAGACCTACTGAACCAGAATTTGCATATTAACAAAACTGTCTCACCAGAGATTCTTCTGCACATAAAATTTCAAGTTTACACTAGTCTAGGGTGAGTTATTGAATGCATATACTCATTTATGTCCTAGCTTCCTCATTTATAAAATGGGAATACTGTAACTACTTTCTAGGGCTGTGGGATTAAGTGAGTAATACATATGGAGAGCTTGCAAATGCCCAATAACTATTAATAAAGACAAGTCACAAAGTATGGCTCAGGATTCTGAAATTGAATTCTATGCTCTGGTGCACACACAATTAAAAGTAAGTAAAACTGTTTTAATTATATAAGCTAACTGACTTCTATAACCATTTCCTCAAATGAAACAGTCATTTTTAAAATGAGTAGTTTTGAAAGGGCTGTCAATATTAACTGCCCATCTATGCAAGTTACTTTTGGGAAATCAATTTCCTTATCTGGATATAAGGACAGGTCAGTTAAGGTCCTTTCTAATCTTTTTTATTTTTTAAATATATTCTACGAGAACTGACACCCTTATTCAATGCCACAAATATCATGAATTAGGTGTAATAGATAAGTAACTCTGAGACTATAATTGTTGAGTATTTTAACTTAGAAGAAAGAGAAAAGAACAAAGATGGGTCACCAGAGTAAACTGAGAAGAATCTTATGGAGTTCTGATTTTGTTACCAGGATCCTAGACCAGAAGCCTGACTCTGGGGATCCAACAGATCAGGTTCAACAACTTTCCCCCAAAACCAAACAAAAGGGTAAAAATCATGAAAGGAACTTTTAATAGTGAAAACAAGGGGACCCATGTCCTTAACCTTCTACTTGAGATGCTGACATGACTTTGACGTTTTATAGAAAGAAAAATGTGGGCAAGGGTTGAGGTTTGCAGAGCTGGAGGCTTTTCACAGCTGCCAAAGCAGGTGATCTTGATCAGGTGTGGTCTGTCTATCATTATCTCAGGACTGGTCAGGCAGGGCTTTGTCTGAGATGAGAAAGTTGCAGGTTGCCTGAGGAGGGTAGCTTCAACTCATCACAAGATGTTTATCAGTCAGACAGTGTTGTTGGAATCCAAGTTGACTCAGAGCAAAGGAGGTGGATGCAAAATGGAGGCAGAGATGCCAGATCTTTAGTCCTGCTTTTAGACACCCATTGGACATTTGCAGGCAAAAGTGAAAAGTCTAAGTCCTTGTTATATATTTTTTCTTTAAATATAAGTCTCTAAGTCTGCCCACATTTAAATGTTAACCCAGAAGTTCTTAAATAATTACAGTGCATAAAAATCACCTGAGCCTCTTGTTAAAGACACACACACACACACACACACACACACACACACACCCCACTTTCCTGAGGTCCTATCTCTCTCT